TGTATATTATATTAAAAAATAAAAAGTCGAACCTTGAGACGTCCATGGAGAAAGTGCAGAACCTGAATTACGACCGATTGACGTGGCCGCAAAATTTGGCCCTGTTTTGAATTCATTCATCTGCGTTTCACCAACATATTATTCTAAATAAAATGGAAATTAATTGGTAACTATATAATTATACAAAATTTTGAAAATATATAATAATAATAATAATAATAATAATAATAATAATAATAATAATAATAATAATTTGGACCATCATATATATGTACATATATACCCAAGTAGGTGCACTTCCAGAAGGGCCATCCCACCCAATATGTGCCACATGCTTAACATCAGTTGGGTATCCAATCTCTATTTCACGTTCCTTGACAACTAATTATAGGGAAATGAAAAATGAAATATAATAATAATGTGTTAAAAATTATGAAAAAAAATATTAAAAAATGGATAAAAAATTAATATATGTACGCATAATAAAATGTGGAAGATGCTACGGTCCTATTATGAACCATCCATTCAGGATTTGTAACCGTTAGATCAACTATCTCTGACGGTTACAAACCCCAACCGAATGATTCGTAACATGACCTAAGCATTTCTCAATATAATGTTACCAAAGATATGAGATAGACTGCATTTGAATCCTTTGTAGATCCCTTTAATTGTTGTTCCCATTAATTTTGATGATTTTTTCTCCAATTCAGTATTCCTCTTCTTGGGTATATATGAAGCAAAATGTAGAAGGAAGCACCACAAATTTATCCACAAAATGAACCTTTGCCTGTCACAAATTAAAAAACCCAATTTTTTTTTAATTTTTTTTATTGGACTTTCTTATTAAAAAAAAAAAAAAATCGCAACAATTTGCATGAAAATTGAATGCAAAAATGGCATGCAAACGTCTCTTTTTCTTGCTCCGAATAATAAATTTAAACAAATTTGTGAAATTATTTTAACACACAAAGAAAAAAATGTAAACTAAAGTACCTTATTCGATATATATAACAACACAAAGAGAAAAAAGGTTGAATAGAGAAGCTTGTTCTTCTCGTCTCCTTTTTGATGTTCCCATGTATCATCAAAAAATGTTGGTAAACATAGTTTTGATTAAGCATGCAAGCAAAAACCGAATCGAATGGATTAAGGGGCTCATCGATAAAGGAAGAGAAATCCGAAAAAAAAAATGAATTTTTTTTTTTTAAAAAGTTCTATTGTGGGATATTTAGGAATGTAATGGGAAAAAAAAAATGAAGAAAAATATGAGTTGCAAAGATTTTCAAGAATGTAAGGTGGGAGAAAGTGAAATTGAGGTTTTTGGCTATTGATTTTTTTAGGAGAGAGAAAGAAAGAAAGAATGAAACCAAATGTAGAAAGTGGGAGAAAAAATTTAGAGAAATGAAAGAGTTTGAGGACCACTAAAATCTCCCAAAATGAGGGTGGGGAGTGGATTGAAGGAAATGTACATATGAACTTTCAAGAATTCAACCAAAATTTTTAATTGGAACAATATATTAATATATAGTATTAATAGATGATAATTGATGAAATTGGATAGTGATTAAGTGATTAATACTTGGCGTGATTTACTTGTTATATATAGAAGATTGACTCAACTATGGAGCCTACTGTTGGCTTCATAACAAAACTGTCCCGTCTTAAATATAATTAAATAGATTATAATTAGCTAACTAGATGTCATTGATATAACTAGAAACTTCTCATTTGATATTTACATAGTCATTTCTTTATATTCTTGTCTTACCAAAACATAAATCGGGTGGACACAGGTTCACAAGACGTGGATCGAAAGAATACAGGCAAATCATGGCGTGGTCGGATACAATATATTCGCTCGAAACTAGTTCTATTGATTAATAGTATTAACTTTGAAAAAAGATGATAATTTTAAAATTTATTTTAAAAATATTTAAAATAAAATAATTAAAAATTCTCATAATATTTCTATTTTTGGCCAATGACTCAGAAAATCAAGGCAGCATCAAAATTGTCACTTTTGCTATAACCATCAATCATCAGATCAAGCATCTCATGGATTTATATATACATCCCAATATTTAAAAATCGGAAAAATTGCACTATTCGTCCACTAATGATATCATTGTTGCATTTTCGTCCTTTAATTGTTTTTGGTTTACTTTTAGTACGCTAACATTTTTTTTTGGCAAATTTAGTCTAAATCGACATCCGATGCTCATTTTTGCTGGAAAATCTGACGTGTTGCCAAGTCAGATCTGATTTTTGATTCCCAGCGTGATGTGGCAGGATACATGCCCAAGTGTTTGGACACATGGAACAAAATAATATAATTTTTTTTTAAAAAAAAAGAATAGGTTAAAACTTCCACACACGTGGATTAAAATCAAACAAAAAAAAAAATAGGTCGTTCAATTCTACCTCGCTATCTTTTACTTATCAAGTCGAGTTCTAGTTTTTAGGTCATTTAGGTCGAGTGTGACAAAATATTTGAGCCAACGACCCAGTCTAATGTCTTTGATCGACCTAACGGCCTTGGTGAGTCGGCTTGGTCGAGTTATATGTTGAAAGATTAGGTGATGGGTGCCAAATTTTGACAAAATCACATTGCATTTCACATTGGAAGTGCTAAGTTGTGTTTTGTTGACAATTGGTAATGCAATTCACATTGTGTCTATGTCGAGCTATGTTCTTATATATATCAATCGAGTGATGTTGAATTAAGTTTGAGTTAAAAAAATAATTGGTAAAGAGTGATTGGATAAATTTGTATCCAAACTGTTAAATCATATTTTTTGGTTAATTTGTTATTTTGCTTT